ATTTATTATTTATAAAGATGTTACAAATGTTTTTGTTGCATGGATATCTTGTATAATGCTTAAGTCAGGGCTTTCAGCGTACTGGTCACCAGAATAGTGTGCATGTACCCAACAGGTAAGTTTTTTATCCCTCACCGTTTCTTGGTTTCCAATGTCCTTTACATCTCTTTGCGCCCATGTGTACCCATCATTTATCTCCCACTTATTACTTCAGTCTTTTTTAAAAAAATAATTTCACATTGCTAAAATCATAATGTGCCTACATTTGTGAACAGCCTCTTAAAGATCATTTCAGTAGTATAGCAGTTTATAAGTCTTTTAGTCTTGTGTTTTCATTTTACTATAACTGAAATTTCATCAAATTGGCAGATAACATTTTCCTGGAGATTTTATACTCTACTGATCCCAAATTGGATGCAGCACGAGAGATTTTAAAAAACATTGAATACCGTAATCTATACAAGTATGTGGGTGAGACTCAGCCTAGTGGAGAGAAGATTAAAAGGGTAAGTTGAGTTATTAAGCATCTTCCCATTAATGAAAGATTATCTTGATCTCTGTCCTCCAAGAGGAAACCACTAACCCATCATGATACCACGGCTCTGTACTAAGCTCTTTATGTTTATTCTCATTTAATCTTCACAGCAATGCAGTGTTTTTAGGTCTGTTTTACAGATGGGGAAATGGAAGCTTCAGATGAGATTAAATAACTTTCTCATGGAAACACAGTTAGCCAGGACTCAAAACCAGGTCTGACTCGAAATCTTTGCTCTCTCATTCTTGAAGTGAGAGAGGTGACCTCAAATTTTGGCTAGTTCCAAGTACAGGAAAATGAATATAAAGGAAGGGGACCTCCCAATAAAGTACGAGCATGAGCTTCACTGAGACTCTGATGACCTGTTTTAACCACTTCCTTCCTTCACAGTATGTCAGTCTCCCAAATGGCGCGTGCTGTCTTTTTTAGTTCAACTATCTATTTTCACCTCCTGCTTCTTGAAGGTTTTTCTCTTTGCCAGAAAGCCATAACACAAGTCGTAGTGATAACCACATCCTACCTCGTAATAATTCTTGGGTTACATTTTACTTCCTCTTGTTTTACTAACAGGTTAATACCACATTTTTTTTTCAAAATGTGAGAATTTTTTTTTAAGGAAAAATGCTCTATTTCTGTTAAGAATGGCATAGGAAGGAGCTGTATTTGCTAGGGATATCTCTAACAATTTTTCTTAGTTAAGTGCTTTTCAGAAAGGGGACCTGTTTGTGGCACAAACACTTAATGACGAAAAACTGGGATTCTAACATGGAAAGTCTCATCTTTTCCAGGAAAACTATGAATGCCTTCCAAAAGAGGTTGCTGATGCTAAACCTACTGAAGTATCACTAGAAGCCGAACTGAAGGCTGAAGATTTTATAGTGGATGTAAGTTAATTCAATAATATACTAAGTAAAGAATTTTTTAAAGATAAAATACCCCCTCATTAAAGTAGTACATGTTCATTTAAAAACTTGGAAAAATAGGCTGGGCATGATGGTTCACGCCTATCAGCTACTTGGAAGGCTGAAGCAGGAGGATGGCTTCAGCCCTGGAGTTCAAAGCTGCAGTGAGCTATGATGACGCCACTGCACTCTAGCTGGGGGTGACAGAGCAATACTCTGTCTCAAAAAAAAAAAAAAATTGTAAAAATAAAGATAGAAGGAAAGAAGAAAATCATCTGTGATCTCACAGAGAGAACCAACATTACTGGCCAATTTTTAAATTTTCTTTGTGATATTTTGCCAATATTTCTAACATAATTATGGTCATATGATTAATAGAACATTGTATATATTGATTTAAACTTTTTTAATTACAAAAGTAATACATGCCAGTTCTTTTTTTAAATTGCCTACATATATACACAAGGAAAAAGTTAAGATTTTTGACTCCTATTTTCATAGAGGCCGCAGTGTCTTCTCATATCCTAATGAGGATGCCAAGCAGCTTTCTCACACTTTTTCCGTTTCCTATAGGAAATACTTTTCAGAGTTCTACTCCTGAAACCTCAGGACAATGTGTGTTCCCCTTGTATTTTTTCCCATAAGCCTATCATTTGTTATTTTGTTGTTGACAAATTCTCAGGTGAAGGGCATCTCTCCATAATCATTTTTTGCCAAAGGAGACAAGCAGATTGCCCTTGGGCCCCTTGTCTGTTCAACTGGCGGATATTGAAGTGCCTCAGACCTTCAGATCAATCTGCAGTTTCCTGTTTCATTAGATGAGGTTTCACTAGAATAAAGGGATCTCTTATCTCAACTTCCTGAGACTCTGAGAGACTTCACGCCCCCAAAACGTTTTCCCTTTCCCTCAATGAAGTGGTCAATCCCTCAAGCTCCCATCTGGGTTTTCTCTCAAAGTGCAGTCTCCAGATGGATGTAGGGTCAGAGGTACTTGAAGAGGCTACGCATAGGAGAAGACGTATACGTGGCTAGTATACACGAAACAATAATCGCATTAAGGCAAATTGATGCAGCAATGAGCATTCTTTTTTTTACTATTAGACTTATAAGAACAAAGTATTTTAAAATTCTATGTTAATATAGCTATGTGAAAATGGAAGTATAAATTGATACAAGAGACCAAATTAGAAGTGTATTCTAAAATTGTAATTGATACAGTAATTTTAATTCTAGGAATTTGGCCTAAGGAGATGATCA